AAGGAATTAGAATAATAAAATGTACTTCTGCATTTTTACTCCATATGTACTAATTNTTGCGTTTTTACTCCATATGTACTAATTTCATGCTTTATAATCCTTCCTGTGGCACTGGTATCATTTCTCAACAGCCTGATGAAATTCCATTAGCTTTTCTTATAGTGCTGGCAATAAATTCTTTCAGGTTTTGTTTATCTGAAAATGACTATAGTTTATCTTCATTGTTGAAGTGTATTTTACTGGATACAAAACTCTAGAGTTTTTACTTTCAGCATTTTAAATATGTGATTCTATTGTCTTCTGATTTGCCTTGTGTTTGAGGATTTTGCTAAAATTATTATTATATTTTTGTGATGCTTGCTTTTTTTTAATCCTCTAACTTCTTTAGGATTTTTTTTCTTTATCTTTGAGATTTTAGCACTTTGTTGGAGGTTTCACCTTTGGATTTAATAGTAGCAGTGTTTCCAGTTCTGGGTATCACCAGAATGTGCAAAACCATGTGAGTTCTTGCATTTTTCAGGTCACGCTTAACTAAACTTTTCACATCAAAATGGTTATTGTTGGTAGTTTAGTGAGGAGGAAGATGTCAGGCCAAGTACATTGTTGTTGCCTCTGAGGTTTTTTTCCAGTTTTGAAGGCTTCTATCATCTCCAAGAGTCTCCTAGTTTCAGTTTATAGTTAACCCCTTCTCTTAGCCCTTGCTCTTAGCCCTAACCCCAGCCAACCATAGATCTGCTTTTAGTCTCTATAAGTTTGCCTTTTCCGGAAATTTCACATACATGGAATAACCATATGCAGTCATTTGTGTCTGTCTTGTTTCACTTATGTTTTTGATGTTCATCTGCATCATTGCATGTATTAGTAGTTTGTTGCTTTTAATTGCCTAATAGTATTCTGTTGTGTGCATTTACTACATTATGCTTATTAATTCAATAGTTGATGTACATTTGCATTGATTTCAGTGCTTAGCTATCTTGAATAGTGCTGCTATAAATATTTGTGTGCAGATTGCTGATTCACCTGGTGAGATTTCCCTTTTAAGAAATTACTGGACTGTTTTTGCAAAGTAACTATACCATCTCACACCACCCAACATAACTGTAACTGTTTGTTTCTTTACAATGTCAACAACACTTGGTACGGTTGGTCTTTTAAAAAATAAGTAATGGTATCTCTTTGAAGTTTTTTTTTTTTTTTAATATGCCTTTATTGATTTCAGAGTGAGGAAGGGAAAGGGGAGAGAGAGAGAAACATCAATGATGAGAGTCATTGATCGGCTGCCTCCTGCACGCCTCCTACTGGGGATCGAGCCTGCAACCTGGGCACGTGCCCTGACCGGGAATCATACCNGGGGGAGAGAGAGAGAAACATCAACGATGAGAGTCATTGATCAGCTGCCTCCTGCACGCCTCCTACTGGTGATCGAGCCTGCAACCTGGGCACGTGCCCTGACCGGGAATCATACCTTGATCTCCTGGATCCTAGGTCAATGTCCAACTGCTGAGCCACACTGGCTGGGCTCTCTTTGAGGTTTTAATTTGCTTCCCTAGTGACTAATGATGTTCAACATATTTTTGGTGCTTTTTAGCCATTTATGTATTTTCTTTGGTGAAATATCTATTACAATTTTTCGCATTGCACATTTGTGGGGGTTTCTCTTATTGAGTTCTTAGATTTTAAGAGATCTATTATGTATGCATGTCCTTTTCAGATATAACATTTGCAAATAATTTTTTCTTTGTCTATGAATTATTTCTTCATTTTCTCAATGGTGTCTCCTGAAATCAAAAGGGTTTTTTTTGTTTTACTGAAGTTCATTTTATTTTGTTTTTCCAGAAAGATAATGCTGTTGATGTCATCTGCAAGTAAAGGCATGTGTTTTTTTCGTGTTTTTTTTTTCTTTTCAGTAAGTATGCCTTTCGTTTCTTACGTTTGCCTTATTGAACCGGCTAAAACACAAGTGCAGTGTGGAACAGAAATGCTGAGAATGGGCATTTTTACCTTATTCCTGATCTTATGTAAAACCTTTTTATCTTTCGGGGTTAATATGATGCTAGCTATAGTGTTCTTATATATGCTCTTTATCACAATGAAAAATTTGATTTTTATTCCTAATTTGTTGAGAGCTGTTACCTTGAGTGACTGTTTGCTACTGGCAAATGTATTTTTGTGTATCTATTGAGATGATCATCTGTATTTTATATTCTATTAATGTGGTGTATTAAGTTAATCAATTTTAAGATATTAAACCACCAGGAGTCCCAGGAGCGCAAGAGAGTAAGAGAGGGAACTCCTTAGCTCAGGAGTTTAAATATCAAATCTCCCCGCCTTTGCAGTGGGCCGTGCCTATTGTGGCCACTGACTTGTTCCCAGGTGTCACTGACAGGTACGCATCTTCCCACCTCACCCAGACCTCACTGGGCCTGCGTCTATTGTCCAGTCCCTTCCCCCAGAGATCTGTGGGGAATAGTCCTGGAGGGTGTTAAACTGTAGCTTCCTGGCAAAGTTGTATAAATGGCATGTCTATATTATCTAGTCTCCCCTTTGCTTCTTTCCTGTTAATAATCATCAGGTTATTAATGGTATCAAAACTGTTTACCTTAGCAAATAAAAATAATGAAATGACAATTCATAATAAACACAACAAAAGATGCACAGGTCTATTATGGAGTAATTATAAAATTTGTTGAAAGACAGCCCGGTTGAGCATGGACCTACGATCCAGGAGATCACGGTTCAATTCACAGTCAGGGCACCTGCCCGGGTTTCAGGCTGGATCCCCATCAGGGAGCGTGCGGGAGGCTGCCAATTAATGACTCTCATCATCAATGTTTCTCTCTCTCTCCCTCTCCCTTCCTCTCTCTGAAATCAATAAAAAAATTTAAAAAATTTTTGAAAGACAGTAAAAAAGATCTGCATTAATTGAGAGACACACTATGTTTATAAATAGAAAGTTTAATATCTTAAAGATGTCATTGCTCCTAAAATTAACCTAGACCTACAGAGTTTTCCACGTAACTTAATTTGTAACTTCAGAGTAATGAGAGTTTGGAACAGCCAAGACACCCCTAAGTGACGGTAGCTCTCAGTGAGCTTCTCCTTCACTGCTGAGCTACAGGAGCATGAAATGCATCAGAAATCAAATTTCCGTGTGGGTATGTAAAGCTGTTGAATATCAGTCCCAAGGACTCTCAGCAGTCCACCGTTAACTCAACCATTATCCATCCAATTATTTTGCCATTTATACACAATGGCAGTTTTGGAGATGATCTCAATCTTGGATTTCATGTTGTGGCTTAAAATTAAATATATGGAGATAATTGTCTTGTTGTGGGTAATTATGCATATTATCATAGTGATATGCTGATTTTTATTACCTGTGCTCACTATCTTGATTTCTTTAATACCTCTAACACTGTCAAGATAATTTTGAGGAAGGTTTTTACCTTAGAGTTACACCAGAATTTTCAATTTACCATTATTACTGTTTCTATTTTTTTCTCAGATGAATCATGTATCATTGCAAGTAAACAGCTTCTATTCCAAACTGTCAGGAAGGTGCTGACAAATTAACATCTTATTGATAGTCTTACACAATGAATGGACAGATTACATCAGTCTCTCATTACTCTAAAGTTTCTTTTATCTATTCAGAGGAACATATGCAAATTTTCCTGCCTCTGGTCGCATTGCTTGATACCTGATAAACAATCTTTTGGCATGAATCTTAGTAACAGAATATAATACAGCTCTATCAATTTCTAGGTATCTTCTTAGGAAAAAACTTAATTATTTTACAGCACAATATTGAATTCTTCCAAAAATGAATCAATTTATACTAATCAATTTATATCCCATTGCATAAATTTTCTGCCTTTTTGCATAAACAAATAGCTTTATGTTTTATTGCCAAAGTATATCTCTCTCTCTATGTATATGTATATACATGTATATCTATATATGTAAATATGTAATTGTTAATGCATCTTAATACATATATATAATTTCAAAGATATTCAGATGGCAGATAAAGTTAACAAAAATGGTGCAAACAATGCCCATAACTGATGTTAGAGATTGAGAAGTGTTATAACTGAGTTTGCGCACGTGTAGGCAATAACTGTCATGATTGGGCATAACTAAGAGTGATAGAGGCATCGATTATAAGATGTAGTCTGTAAGATGCAGGAATATTAAAATGTATGTCTTACAGTTAATGACACACTTTATCTTCAGTGCCTGGGGTGAAAGGAAAGGCATTTTGGAAGGAGGCTTACGCACAAGGCAGAGCTGCCGTCGTGGAGAATGAATGAGCTCTAATATTCTAAGACTGATCTTTCCCCTCTGAAGAATAAATCAGGGAGATGAGAGAAGGATCTTGAATTAAAGGAGTGAGTCAGAGAACCCTTTCAAATTCCTGTTTCTCTGGGCATTTCCAGGCAGCTGGTTTTGCACACTAGGGGGCTCTAAAACGCTACATGTCAAATGAAAATATTGATGGCCCGTTTGGTTTTTAAATGTCATTCCCTCAGAAAATATTTACTGAGCATAAACTGTTAAGCTTATACTGTCCCTTGTGAGGAATATAAAAATTACTATGATCTGTTCTCAGCCTATAGAAGATTTACAGTTTGGTAGAGGAGATAAAACATATAAAAATGAAAATAAAGGGAGATAGGAAACAAGTGTTAGAACACATTTTGGAAATTACAAAAATCACAAAGAAGAGTGAATCCTTGCCTAGATCAGTTCAAATTTTCTTTGATTTGGGAAAAAAATGTAAACATCTCCGTAATGAAGTGGCCAGGCCCTGTATTGCAGGGGATCCTCCCGGCTGGGGTTCGAGGGAGGGGCAAGAGCAGAAGCAGCTGCCTCCTGCAAGTGCCCTGAGGGTAGCTGGGGACACGTGCTTGTTCCACAGCCAGTCCTGCTGGCTTTTCTCTCATTTTCCTCCCCTCCTTCCCTTTCTTCACAGACTTCCCTTCTTCCTTTGCTTTCTTTCTTGGGGTGTTCCTGACCATAATGACCTGGCAGTGACTCTTACGTATAGTCTTAACCTTGCAGGTGGCGTTCTGGACTGAAGATGTTCCCACCCCAGTTCCAAGGTAAATTCTGGGACATATTTTTCTGCCTAGGAAAGCACTGTGGCCATCAATACCCCTCACTAATATTACTGTGTGTGCATTTTCCACTGATGCTAAAATAACAATAGAATGTTCATAGCCCTCTGAATTAGGGAGGCAAACTGGCAGAGCAGGAGCAGAAATAAGGCTGCGGGAATATTGACCTCTTGCCTTTATCATCACAAATACAGATTTTTGCCTGCTTCCTGCCCAGGCTATATTCTGGTCTTTCTTAGCTCCTAGACTACCCAAAGTTATAGTCTTTGGGTCATTTTGAAGTCTTTCCCAAGAATCCAAGGCCTCTACTCAGTTCCAGGATCCCAAGGCAAAAAAATTCTCTTTCTCATTTTGGCTTTCCTTCTTAATTGATAAACATCAGTGATGAGAGAGAGTCATTGATTGGCTGCCTCTTGCATACCCCCTACGGGGGATGGAGCCTGAAACCCGGGCACGTGCCCTGACAGGGAGTTGAACCTCAATCTCCTGGTCATGGGCCGATGCTCAACAGCTGAGCCATGCCGGCCGGGCTTGATGAAACATTTTAGAGTAACTTGCAAACACCATAATCCTTTACTTCCAAATACCTCCGTGTATATTTCCTAACAAGGATATTTTCCTACATAACCATGGTATAAAAATAATTTCAGAAATTTAATGTTGATATAATATTTAATGTAGGCTCATATTCAAATTCTATCAATTGTCCCATTAATATTATTTTTTATTTTTCTATTACAGTTGATATTCAATATTATTTTATATTAGTTTCAGGTATACAGCACAGTGATTAGACAATTATATAAATTTACATAGTGCCATTAATTTTCTTTATAGCTATTTTTTAGCCCATAATGTTCTCCAGTCTAGAATCACATATTGCATTTAATTTTCACATCCCTTTAGTCTCCTTCAATCTGGAACTATTTCTCTGTCTATCTTGATCTTTATCATTAAGAGTTGAGGTCAATTGAAAGTTTCTAAATTTGGGTTTGTCTTATATCTCCACATGATTAAATTCGGTTAATGCATTTTTGGCAGGAATGCTACATATTCTGAAAACATTATATCAAGAGACATAAGATTCCCTTCCTTAGAAACGGAACCATTTTTTATTCCCCCAAGCAATATGAGTGCCAGTCTCCCCACAGCCTCACCAACAAAGTGCGTTGTCAAGTTTTTGAATTTACTGCCAACCTGATAGGTAAAAAATGGTATTTTAATATCATTTTTAAAAATTGCCTTTATTGAAGTAGAATTCAAAAGCAATAACATGTTAAGTGCATAGTGTGATGAGTTTTGACAAACCAGGTAAGGCATAACTATGTTCATCACTCTAAAAAGTTTCTTGTTCCCCTTTTTCTGTAAATCCCTCCAAATTCTGGCTCAGGCAACTACTGACCTGCTTTCTGACACTATAGATTAGGTTTGCATACTTTAGAATTTCATATAAATTGAATCACATGGTATGTATATATTTGTGTCTAGAAGGAAGAAGGTACCGGTGGTATCCATAGGATAGACTGGACAAAGAAAGTTAGATGTATGGTCCTATTTGTGTGCACTAGCTACATGGCCTTAATATACATAGATTATAAATAAAACTGAATTCCTCTAATTTTAAATAAAATACATTTTCCATTCTAAATCTTCTTACTATGCCAACCTACTAAGCCCTCAAAAATGGCAGAATTGTCTAGTATCTATAGAAATCTCATTTTTATGAGTTTTAACCTTACCATCAACTTTTCATAAACCTTATGCAACAAGGATTCTGTATCTTCCAAAGAATTTACTCTCCATTTTAGCAAAAACTTCCCTTACTATCTTAACTTTCTGTCATGTGTCTCTTCCAAGCCTCATGAGAAAACAATGCAACTTTCCAGCTTTCATTCTTCAGGTAGCACTGAGGTCACTTGGTGTGAGTGCGGCTGTTAGCAGCCTTTCAGAGAGCGAGTGTATGAACATGGTGCGCAAACTGGGCGATGCAGTAAAGCAAGGCCCACTTGGTTGAAACATCTAATACCCTGTCCCGACTCAGGCCCTACAGCACTTGATATTCATAGCTAAGCTTCTTGGTAGCTGTGAATCAATATGTGTGTGAGTCAAAAGAAGGAAAGCAATTAATCTTCAGTACTAAAGAGAAACACCCATAGTCTTAGGTATAAAATAGTTCCCAAAGCTGAACCTCATTTGCATAATATGTATCTCTGAATCAACAGCTAAATGAAGAAACAAAGCCCTGATATTTAAAGTCGATAATGCTTTGGTTCGATTTGCCTTTTGTATGGTGCATTTTTTTGGTTGGTAGGAAATGGCACACTGAAGGGCGCGAGGAAGAAGGTGGAAGTGGCAGGCACTGAGAGTACAAATGTAAAAATAAATAACTTTTGCAAGAAAGACACCAAAATAATTACATGATACTTCTAATAGTCTTGCCTTATTAAGACCACTAATCAAATTCCTAACTAAAAAGACTTCTAATAATTTATAAAGATAATTCATTAGATAATTTCAGTAACAGTGTCCAAGACCCTCCTTATATTGAGCACATGCCCACACGCACGCACACACTAAATAGCAAAGAGTGTTGCGTGAATCTCCCTGATTTTCAGGTTCTGGAATTGAAATAGTTTCCTCAATCATTTTAACAACTTCATTGAGGTATAACTGGAATACAGTCAACTGTCTGTATTTCAGGTATGCAGTCATCATATACGCACTCCTGTGAAATCATCACCACAGTCAACATAACGAGCGTGTCATCACACCCAAGTGAGTCCTCCTGCCACCTTGTATTTCTCCTTCCTGCTTCTCCTGGCCTCCTTCCCAGCCCCGGCAACCACTTATCTGTGTTCTGTCATAGACAAGTTTACGTTTTATAGAACTTCATATAAATAAAACCACACAGTGTATCCAGCTAAACTATTTTGAGATTCATCCATGTAGTCGAAGGTATCAATTGTTCATTCCTTTTTTGGGGTGAATGCTATTCCATCATATGGATATAACATAAATTGCTTACTCATTTACCTGATGATG